AGGGAGCCCGATGCGGGACTCGATCCTGGGACTCCAGGATCATGACCTGAGCCGAAGGCAGTCGCTTAACCAACTGAGCCACCCAGGCGCCCCCGTTCTTCTGAAACTTTTTAAAAATTTTTTATTAAAAAACGAAAGATTTGGGGTGCCTGGGTGGCTCAGTCATTAAGCGTCTGCCTTTGGCTCAGGTCATGATCCCAGGGTCCTGGGACCTAGCCCCACATCAGTTTCCCTGCTCGGTGGGAAGCCTGCTTCTCCCTTTCCCTTTGCTCCTGTGTTCCCTCTCTCGCTGTCTCTCTCTCTGTCAAATAAATAAATAAAATCTTAAAAAAAAAAAAAAGAAAGATTTGATTTTTTTAAGCAATCTCTACACACCCAATGTGGCACTCAAACCCACAACCCGAGATCGAGTCACACACTCCACCGACTGAGCCAGTCAGGTGCCCCATCTTCTGAAACTCTTATTAGACATATATTTAACTCCACTGTATCTGCAATGTCTCTCTCTTTTTTTAAAGATTTTATTTATTTATTTATTTGTCAGAGAGAGAGAGGCAGGCAGAGGGAGATGCAGGCTCACTGCTGAGCAGGGAGCCTGATGTGGGGCTCGATCCCAGGACCCCGAGATCATGACTGAGCTGAAGGCAGACGCTTAACCGACTGAGCCACCCCGTCATCCCTCTGCAATGTCTCTTAACCACCCTCCCATATTTCTATCTTTTTGTCTCTCTGTGGTGGATTCTAGATGATTTATTCTGAATAAATTCTTTCTTCAGCTTTGATTTGGCTTATTATCTGTCTCTCCAGTAGAATGTAAACTACATTACAGCAGGGTCCTTGTCTGTTTGGCTCACTGCCGCGTCCTCAACACCCAGAACAGGGCCCGGCACTTAGGGGGCACTCCAGTAAATATTTGTTTGATGAATGAATGCCACCAGATAACTACATCTTATCTTGACCTTACAGGGAACTTCACAGAGCTATACTCTAGAGAGCCTATCCCCCATCGGATCTACAGTTCTCCATAATCAAGGTTGTTAGGGCAAAGCAAATCACGGAGTCAAGATAATAAAATCATCCTGTTTGGGCCTGACTCTGATGAGTTTCCGTGAGAGACTGAGGAAAACGAATTCAAGCAGTCAACACCCAGGAAGCCACTGCACTATCATGAAATAGCCAAAAGGGTGGTGTGTGTGAATCAGAATTCAGCTTCCAAAAGGCAGTTCGGGGGCTACTGAGAGCTGAACAAACAAACTGACTGAAAGTCAAATGTAAGGAAACTATGTGATAGGGGAGCCTGGGTGGCGCAGCTGGTTAAGCGACCGACTCTTGGTTTCAGTTCAGGTCCTGATCTCGGGGTCTTGAGATCGAGCCCCGCGTCAGGCTCCCCGCTCAGTGCGGAGTCTGCTTAAGTTTCTCTCTCCCCCTCCCTCTGCCAGCCCCCCCCGACACTCTTTCTCTCTCTCTAAAAAATAAATAAATCTTAAAAAAAAAACAACAACTATGTGGTAGATAGAATAATGCCCACCCCCCTAACCCCCGCCGATATGTCCACATCCTAATCCCTGAAACTTGTGAATATATGACCTGAATAGCAAAAAAGGACCTTGCAAATGTGATGAAGTTAAGGATTTTGAGATGGGGAGATTCTCCTGAATTACCTGGGTGGGCCCAGTGCAATCATCAAGGTCCTTACGAGTGAAAGAAGGGGGCAGGAGGGTCCGAATCAGAGAAGGAAGAGGTGGGAGCGATACACTTGAGACTCAGCTGCCCACTGCTAGCCTTGCAGACAAGGAAAGAAGCCATGAACCAAGCAATGCAGGCAACTTCTAGAAGCTGAAGAAGTCAGAAAACAGATTCTCCTCCAAAGCCTTCGGAAGGAATGCAGCCCTGCTAACACCCTGACTTTAGCCCAGTGAAACCAATTTTGGGCTTCCATCCTCTGCCACTGTAAGATAATTCATTTGTATTATTTTTCTTAAGATTTATTTATTTGAGAGAAAGCGTGCGCACATGAGCGAGTGGGGGGAGAGGCAGAGGGAGAGAGAGAGAGAAAAGATCTCAAGCAGACTCCGTGCTGAGCGCAGAGCCTGACCCACGGCTCGAGCTCCTCGATCTTACAACCCTGAGATCACGACCTGAGCCGAAATCAAGAATCGGATGCTTAACCGACTGAGCCACCCAGGCGCCCCTAGTTTGTATTATATTTTAAGCCACCAAGTTTGTGGTAATTTGTTACAGCAAAAATAGGAAAGTGATACAGATCACCGATATAAGTAACCTTCAAAGTCCTGTTTGTGATCCAACAGTGTGCAAGAAATCCTTTGGTCTAGGCAAGCAACTTTTTTAAATGAAGACTAGAATAGAAAATCGCAGAATGAATCCCACCTAGAAAAAATCAGTATTACCTGGTGAAACTTTTCTTTGAGATGTATGTGTGTGTTTATATCCACATGTGTATGAACTGCCTCGGGAGGTCATGGTCACAAAAACCTGAAAGAACACTGACCTACAAAAGTCACATTGTTGCCAAGGTCAAGGCATTGGAAACCTATGTGGACTCCGCTGCATTACCAACATCCTCTTTTTGCCGATGAAGAAACTAGGGCCCAGAGAGGTAAAGACTTGCCCTCGGTCACACAGCTCTGATCGGCGGGGCCAGGATTCTAATGCAGGCTTTGCTGACTCCAGGAGGTGAACCTTTCCCCTTTAACCACACCAGCCCCCTTTTGGGATGTGTGGGACAGTGCTAAGCAAGAAACACCCATATTCCCTCTAGAGCCTGAACATAACTCTCCGAGGATGCTTTCCATAAGCCCATTTTTCAGACGAGGAAGCTAAGGCTCAAAGCAGTTCCGATACCTGCCCCTAAGTGGGATCCACGGAGTCTGGTCTCAGAACCCACCTGCTTGTCCAGGGCTCTGGTCTGCTCCTGTAGCTCCTTGACCTCGGCCTGTACCTGGAGCCGGCACTTGAGCAGCTGGCCCATGTTCTCCAGCCTCTCACTGTCCCGCAGCCGCTTGACCTGGCTCTGGGCGACGCTGATCTGCACCTTAAGTTTATCTCGCAACCCCTCCAGGCGCTGGATCTCCTCACTGCCCAGGCAGGGAGGGGGAAAGCAAGCCAGCAAGCGGCAGAGCTCAGAATCACTAAAGGCCAGACTCGGGGCCGGCCCTCCCCCCTTGGAGCCAGGAGCCGGACCCCCAGCCCCCCGAAGAGCCCCCTCCCCAGCTCCGGGACCAAGTAGTGGGCTCACAGTTGCTTGTTGATGCGCTGGTGGACTTCCTTGCTGTAAGCCCGCCTCTCCCCCTCCATCACTTTGCATTGCCGCTGTAGTCTGCTCAGCTCCCAATCCACTGAAGGCAGGACCAGCCAAGGGGCTCAGGAGGAACCCAGTAGGCCCCAGCCCCTTCCTCTCCAGGACCTAGGAATTCTGGCTCCCTCAGGGTCCCGCAAACTGCAGCTGAAGTGCAGACGCAGTCCCCGCCAGCCCTCCAGCTCTGTATCTTGGCTCCTATACCCCTTCCAACTCCTGTACCCCAAGCTGACCTCAGGGTTTTTCCCATCACTCCTGCCCCAGGTTTGGGCACACACTTTCCCACTAGAGGGCGCTCCTGGCAGGCCTCCTGCTCCTCAGGGACCTGCCACATACGATCTGGAACTTGGGAAAGGTGAGGATAGGTGCCAAGAACTGGGAACAGCATTCCAACTCCCTCCCCTACTTCAGCCCCCATCACCCAGCAGTCCTCGGTCCCATCCTCCTTCCTCACTCTCAGCTCATCCTCTAGTCTCAGGCTTCCTTCTGTCCTGCCTGGACCATCACCCCAGCCTCCTCCCCAGCCTCTCGGCCTTTCCTTACAGCCTCAGCGGGTCTTTCTACCCTGCCTCTCCCCGGCTCACAGGCCTCCCTTGGAGCTCCAGGGCCCCCAGGACAATGTCCCAGCTCCTCAACCTGGTGTTCAAGGCCCCCAACGATCTGACGCTACCCACCTCTCGAGTCTGGTCCACTAGCTCCCCGCCCCCCACGGCCCAGTGGCTCTCAACCAGAGATTCTGCCCCGCACAAAGAGTTGGCCATGTCTGGAGGCATTTTTGATTGTCACGATGTGGGGATGGGGCAGGGGAAGGTGCTCATGGCATGTAATGGCTAGAGGTCAAGGATGCTGCTAAGCATCCTACAATGCCCAGGGCAGCCCCCATGACTAAGCATGATCTGACCCCAAGTGCCAACAATGTGGAGGCTGAGAAACCCAATTCTAGCCACATGCTGTTCTCTCTGCTGAAACACTCGTCCCTGCCTGCTCCCACTGGGAACTCCTGGGAGGAGTTCCAAGCCCCACTCAAACTACTCCTCCTGCAGGAAGTCTTCCGGGACTGCCCCACTCCCCAGACTTGGCCTATCCCTCCGCCCTGCTCCACCTCCATTCCCACGCATGTGCGTTCCTTGCTAGAGGGCTCTCCTGGAAGGTCTCCCTGTCCTCAGTGTGCTGCAGCACAGTACCTGGAACTTGGGGAACTGAGGAAAAGAATGAGTGAAAAAAGCAAGACTGTATGAATTACCCATTCCTTCCAGGAAGGCCTCGCTTCCATCCTCCGAGCGGGTGCTCCCTGCAGAGTGTCCCAACGGCATCTTGGCCAAAGCAGGAGGGGCTCCTGTAGGGGTGACACAGGACCGCTTTAGACAGCAAGCAGGAGAGGGCCGGAAGGAAGGTGGGGATGAACCGCGAGGGACTAGGAATTGGAAGGTGACCCCAGAATCAGCTCTGGCCTCTCTTTGAGTCTCAAGTCCTCCAATGGGTTGGAGGGGGACACCTCTCAGGCCTCTCTCCACACCCCTCCTGACCTCCGACCTCTCATATTTTCTGTCTTGTGTTTCCACTCGGACTCACGCCTGCGAGGACAGGCCCCCTAGGCTCTCAGTATTTCTGAGGCGTGGCTGTTTGTGGAGAGAGACACGGAGGAGGGGAAAACCCCGGCCTGCTGTGGGGAGCGAGGCCCGGTCCCTACCTGCTGGAGTGCCTGACCTGTCCCAGGTCCTCCAAGCTCACTGTTGTGGCCTGGTTACTGGGGAGATAAAGGGCCAATGAGGCCTGAGGACAGCGGCCGGGGTGGGACCGAGGCCTCCAGCAGGAGCCGTGGGAGGGGAGGCTGGGGAGGAGGGGCCGGGGCAGCCCGAAGACCAGAGGAAACCTCGGCGGCTGGGTACAGACGGATTGGGGGGCCCGGAGCCCTGCGAGGGGCGGGGCTGGGAGAGCTTGCGGGGGCGGAGCTGTGAGCCTTGAGAGGGGCGGGGTGGGAGGGGCCTGTGAGAAGAGGGACTGGGTGTGCCTTGGGGGGCGGGGCTGGCAGGGCCACGAGGGGCGGGGCTTCAGCGCTTGAGAGGGCCGTGAGACCTGTAAGGAGCACGGCACCTGTGGAAGGAGGGGCTGCGGGGACTAGAGAGGGACCCGGCACCAGTATCCGTAAAGGGCGGGGCTGCGGGCCTTGCGAGCGGTGGGGCAATGGGGGGGGCTGTCGAGGGGAGGGGCACGGGTACCTGCAAACGCCGGAGCATCACGGACCTGCGAGGGGCGTGGTTAGAAGGCCACTGGGCGGGCCTGGTGGGAGGGCGCTGGAAGGAGGTCTGGAAGGCGCTAACGGGGAGCGCGGGGCTGAGGGGCGGGCTGTATGTTTTCGGGAGGGAGAGGCAGGAGCTGAAAGACCCAATGGAGCCAGGGCTGGGAGAGAAACGTCTGGAAGGCTTTGGAGCTAGGCCGAGGTCTTTCGGGACGAGGCCCGAGAGATGTGTGTCTTAAGTTAAGACCACGTTATTTTGAAGATTCATTAGGAAGACGGTGCCGATGCCGCGAGTTGTGAGAGGGAGGAGAGCTCACCGCCAACTCCGGTCCCCGCAGTGACTCACTACGCATGCGCGGCCAACGGCCTCCTGCGAAGCCTCTTGCCTGCTGGGTCCGCGCACTGAGAGGCGGAAGTGGGCGGGGCCGCGAGCTCTTCGTGCCTCCCCCGCCTGGCCACACCCCCTCGCTCCGCAGGGCACGCCTCCTCGGCTGTAGGCTGCTGCCCACGTGGGCCTCCCCGGAGCGGGCGGGCAGTGGGCGCAGCTCCCTGCAGGCTGGGTGTGCCTGAAGCCTGCGGTTTCCTGTGGGAGGAAGCAGCCCGCGGGCGCTCAGCTCGGCTCTTAGCCTTGGAGGCCCAGGAGGGGGAGATCCCGTTACCGCCCTCGGGCTCCCTGATTCTCCCGCTTCCACAGGGTCCTAGCTTGAGGGACCTCCTCCTACGTCCCCCCCCCCCCGCTGCATTCCCAGGGTACCCAAATCTGGCGCTGATTCCACTAGGAAGTTGATTTAGAGTCCTAGCCTCCTGTTTGCTACTTCCCCTCATTCACATTTCCATCTCCCTAGCCCCTGGTTTCCAGACTCCTTCCAGGGCCAGGTCTGGTCCCCTTTGCCTACACTCCATGAAAAGCACATGACCCTCCAGCCTCTAATTTTTCCCTCAGTGACCCAGACTTTCTAACTTCCTTGGGGTTCTGAATTCAGACCCCCCAGTCTCTGTCCCCAGGACCCTAATTCTGTACTCCTAACTCTAGCCTCGGGGCCCAGTGGACCCAAGAATTTTCCCCTTCCCCAAATCCTAGAGACCTTGAACTAGAGTCCCCCAATACTAAATCCATTCAGGGCCCCGGTGCTGGTATAACTAGCCCATACTATGTACTGGACACTCTAAGAACTACCCTATGATGTATTTACTATTATTATCCTTATTTTACAGATAAACTGAGGCATAGAGAGGTTATTAGTAACTTGTCCAAAATCACAGCGAATGAGTACAGCAGCTTGGGTTTGAATCCAGTCCATGTGCCTCTGTAGACTGCTGTACTGGTACCCAATTTCTGGGTCTCCTGAGTACCTGCCTAGTCACCAAACTGCCTATCCCTCACCCCTTCAGGGAGCTGAGATGACCAACCACTCTCCTGCCCCCTAGCTCTGGCCCCATCAAGATAATCCCATCGTCCAGTTTCCTTCCCCTGCAAGAACCTAGGATTTCAGTCCTCCAACTTCTCAATTCCATATCAGGACCCCAGACACCTGGTCCCCTGTCCCTCACTTTTTACCAGCACCCAAACCTTCCAAGAGACCCAGGTGTATAGTAATCACATTCCGCTCTGATTCAATAACTCAACAATAAGTAATAATAATAATAGTAATAATAATAGTGAACATTAAGTCCCTGGTACTGCACTTCTGTTTAAAACCCTCCAGTGGCTTCTCACTGCCTGTAGAATAAAATCCCAACTCCTCCCGTAGTCTTCAAGGGCCCTCTTTGATTTCCCTTCCCTACCACTCCCTCCAGCTATTCCAGCCACACTGGTCCTTCTGTGTGCTCTCCAAACAACCTGAGCTTGTTCTTGCCTCCAGCCTCGCATTTCCTCTTCCTCCAGCACTGAAATGACTCCTGTCCTCAGGTCTCAGCTCAGATGTCACCTCCCCACAGAGCCCTTGTCTGATCACCTTGTTTAAAGTAGCTTCCTCCCACACATCTTTATCACCTCCACTCTATTTTATTTCCTACAAAGCACTTAGCGACCCGTCTGAAATTTATCCACTTCATTTGTAGGTTTTCTCTTTATGGTCTGCCTGCCTCTACCAGGAAAGTAAGCTCCATGATAACAGCAGGCGTCTGTTTTCTTTATTATGACCTCCCGTTTCATAATAGATGTTCAATAAATGTTTGATGAAGAAAGGAATGAACGTGTGGCTGCGTTAGTGTAACGCTATTACCTTATTCATTTTTCTAAAGATTTTATTTATTCATATGACAGAGCGAGAGAGCACATAAGCAGGGGGAACAGCAGTGGGAGAGGGAGAAAAGCAGGCTCTCCGCTGAGCAGGGAGCCCGATATGGAGCTCGATCCCAGGATCCTGGGATCGTCTTTATTTATTTATTTATTTGAGAGCGAGAGATAGAGCAGAGCAGGAGGGAGGGGCAGAGAGAGAAGCAGACTCTCCACTGAGCAGGGAGCCCGATGCGGGGCTCGATCCCAGGACCCCGGGATCATGACCGGAGCCGAAGGCAGACGCTTAACCGGCTGAGCCACCCAGGCGCCCCACCTTATTCATTTAGAGTTAAGTATCTGAATTAGGACTACCACTATTAGTATATTGTCAGTATTATCAGTATTACTGTACCCATGTCACAGATGAGGAAAACGAGGCTCAGAGAGTTGAAATAATCAGTTGAGGCAGGAAATAATGGCACTGGCATCAACTTCCGCCCCCTGCCCTCTTCCAGAATTTCACGTGTTCCCATTTTCCATCCCCTGACCCCCACTGTGGGGCCATCTCCGCCCCCCCACCCCAGCTCTCAACCCACTCCACGCAGCAGGAATCTGGCCTGCTCCCCCAGACCCCCGTTCCTCGAAGGATCCAGTTCTAAGCCCCATCAGGGAAAGCAGACATCCGGCCCCGGGACAAGACCCAGTCTGGAGGCCTGAGAATCAGGCCTTCCCTCTCCTCGATGCTTGCCCCACCCTGACTTCCTGGGCTTCAAGGACTTCTCATCTCAACGCTGGGAGGGAGCCCCAGAAGATGCCTGTCTGGGGGCAGTGGGTGGGAGCCCAGAGAATGCCTAGTCCCTCCCTCTGGCACAGATCTCAGCTGGGTGCGGTGGGAGTGGGTATAAAAGGGTCAGTATATATTGAGAGGAGCAGAGAGAAAAACCAGGAGAGAGAGAAGAGAGAGAAAGAAGGAGATATAGGCAGTGAGGACTGGAGAGAGAGGGAAGAAAGGAGAGAGAGAGAAAGAGAGAGTTCCCGATTGGAGGGGAGAAGGAGGGAGAGAGCCAGAGGGGAGAGCGAGGGAGGGAGGGAGGAAGGCGGTGAGAGAGGCGGGGGCCTCGAGAGGGTGAAAGGAGGGAGGAGAAGGGCGGGGCGCGGAGGCCCCAGCAAGGGACGAGACTCCAACTCTGACTTTTTCTGCCGCTCTCGGTAAGTTTCCAGTCCGTTATTCGGACCGGATTTCTTTATTTACTTGGGAGTGCAGCAGTTTGGGAAGGATACCCCCAGGCCTGGAGAGACGCCCCCACTCTCAGACCCCATGGAAATCACTGTAATTTAAGAAGTGATCTCTTAGCACTTGGGGTGGAGATTCGGGAAGGGGTGGGGCCCGGCAAGGATTCGGGGTTCTTAGCAGAGCCCTCCACTGGTAAACTTCCTTTAGTTTTTCCCCATGGCTGTCCACTCCCTCCTGAGGACGCTGAGATCAGGGCTTTGCCAGAGAACACCCCACATCTGGGGGACTACAGGCACCCCCTTTCTGGACACTGAAGCGTCCTGGGAGGCTGGCTCCTTCTTGTCAAGCCTCCCCCTGCCAACCCCAACCTCACACCCCCAGCATGGATCTCGCCCATTTTTCCCACAAGATGTCCAGCAGGCACCAGACTGGCAACAGGGTGGGGTGGGGACCTCGTGGGCAGAGCCAGAGACTGGGGTTTCCCTGGTTCTTGGAGGCAGGGGCATGGGATGAGTCACTGGATGACTCACTGGGTCCCCCTCCTCCCCACCCCAGGAGAGGAGGGGGGTGAATCAAGGATGCCTGTCTCTGGGGGAAGCCCCCAGCTTCTGATGACTCTGGAGGGGTATCAGCTTGAATTTTCATATCCTGGCCCATATGTGCCCAGGACCAGGACTTTGAGGAGACGGGAGGCCACACTGCTAGTCCTCCTCCCTCCTGGACCCAAGAGTCCATCCCTGGCTTGCTCCAACCCCTGGAGAATTCAGGAGTCCGGGCCCCCAGCCTCCTCCCCGCTCAGACTCAGGAGTCACGGCCCCCAGCACTCTTCTCCATCACCCCCAGGAGTCTGGACTCAGCCCCCTTCTCCACCAGGATTGAAGCATCTCACCCACCCCTGTGCCAACCTCTTGAAACAACCACCTCCTGACACCCCCCCGCCCCGCCCCAGCCCAGGCTTCCACCGCAGCCATGTCTCTCCTCCTGCTGATGGTCTCTGCCCTTCACATCCTCATTCTCATCCTGCTTTTTGTGGCCACTTTGGACAAGGTAAGCCTACTCTGGTGGCAGCGGGGCATCTTGTCCTGTAGACTCCTGCCACGCCCCTCTTCTAAAGTCACTCGGGCCCCACCCCTTTTCCCTAGCATCTACCCTTCTGAGTTCTGCCTCCCTCTACCCCGCCCTTTCCCCTGACTGCTCCCACCCCTTCTTACTAAATCCGTGCCTTCCCCAGGTCAATGCCTTCCGGCACCTGACCCTTTTCCTCACCCTTCCCACAATCTCCCTGACGCCGCCCACTTTCCTTTCCTAACCCTGCCTTTGTTTCTTTCTCGGTCCATCCCAGTCCTGGTGGACCCTCCCGGGGAAGGAGTCCCTGAATCTCTGGTATGACTGCACGTGGAACAATGACAACAAAACGTGGGCCTGCAGTAACGTCAGCGAGAATGGTGAGGGGGATAGGGAACCAGTCTGCAAGGGGAGGGGTCACCCCAGGTCTTTTCACAGGACCAAGAACTAGGGAACCCCTCAAAGTTTGAGTGGGCAGGTCTGGGCCCCAATGCTGAGTGAGTGGGGCTGATTATGACCCTCTTATCTGGATGGTAGGGGGCAATATGCTCATGTTCTAGAGAGGATGGACTAAAAGCCCCCCTCCTTTATGATTCAGAAAGAGTGGAGGCCACATGCTATAGATTTGAGGAATGGGGAGAAAGCTCCCAAGATTCTGAGCAGGTAGGATTATGTTTTCAAAATTCTAAGGAGATGGGACTGGTGTTCGGAATGGATGTCCAGGACCAATTTGTCCAAGTTCCAAGGGGTTGAAGCAGGACCACATTAAGGTTCTAAAGGGGTGGGGCTAAATCCTTCCAAGGTCCTGAAGAAGGTTGGGGGGTTACGGTGCTGTTTCATCTGAGTTATAAAGGATAAGAGCTGTATCCTTCTAAATTTCTAAGTGATAGAAAATGAAAGATTAAATGCTTTTCCCCTAAGAGTAAAGCAAGAACTTCTGTTCTCACCACTTCCGTTCAGTGTTGTAGTGGAGGTAGCGAATGCAACAGGACAAGAAAAAGAAATAAAAGGTATAAAGAGGGCAGAGGAAAAAGTAAAAATGTCTCTATTCCCAGAGGACATGTTCATGTAGAAAATCCTAAGGAATCTTGAAAATAGCTTCTAGAACTGATAAGGGAATTTAACAACGTTATAGGAATCAAGGTCAATGTAAGTGATACTCCTAAGCATCCAAAGTTGTATGGCTCTAAATGGGGTGGAGGCAGTGAACGATGAGCAAGCCGGTGGAGCTGGAACTCTGGACCTACTGTGACTTCCACCTCTATCTCCTCCTTATTGCAGGCTGGCTGAAGGCGGTTCAGGTCCTCATGGTGCTTTCCCTCATCCTCTGCTGCCTGTCCTTCATCCTGTTCATGTTCCAGCTCTACACCATGCGGCGAGGCGGGCTCTTCTATGCCACTGGCCTCTGCCAGCTTTGTACCAGTGAGCACGGGCCCCGGGGAATTGAAGGGAAGGGAGGGGGACTGTCCGGGTGCTGGGGGCCCCGAGAATGGACATCCAGTCAAAGAAAACAATTATTAACAGCCCAAGGACCACCTGAAGTGCCTCCATAGGCTACTTCTCTGCCTGGGGACTTACAGAGAGTTGTACTTTTCACTGATTCAGTGGTTTGTGGTGTGCGTCTCTGAGTCATGTCGAAGCTGACACTTAGAGCTTCAAGGAGCCGGGGCTGGGAACAGTGCTGTGAGTAAATAATTTAGATTCCAGGGAAGGGGGTGCAGAGATGGTTGGCTAAGTAATACTCCAGGAGAGAACTCTGAATCATAATAGTAGTGATTTTATAATAGCAGCCAGCTTCTGTTTCTGGTGGACCTACTGCGTATCAGACACCTCAGGGTGTTTATATACCTTAAAACTTTTTGACTTCAGGTGCAGAGAACTAAGTTATCATAGTCCTCAGTTTCTGGAATATTCTCTTCTTAGGTTCCTGTAAAGTCCCTCTCGTTTTAATTCATTATTTTCCTGCTTGGCTCGCAGAAAGGCACTAAAAGATATTCCTTGAAGGGATGAGTGGATGGATGGATGAATGGATGGATGGATAGTATCTCCCATTTTATGGATGAGTATCTCCCATTTTATGGATAGATTAACTAAATTGCTCAAGGACAGCATGCGGTAGCTTCCTTCCAGAGCTCTGAGGGAGCGAACCACAACTCCCAGAAGGCAGCGGTGCGGAGCCCTGGCTTTCCCGCGGCTTCTTTGCCCCGTGGGTTGTTGGGAAATGCAGTCTTCTTGCCGGTACTGCGTGACACCTGGTCCCCGTCTCCCCGCAGGCGTGGCGGTGTTTACCGGGGCGCTGATCTACGCCATTCACGCCGAGGAGATCCTGGCGGAACGCCCGCGGGGGGGCAGCTTCGGTTACTGCTTCGCCCTGGCTTGGGTGGCCTTCCCCCTCGCCCTGGCCAGCGGCGTCATCTACATCCACCTGCGGAAGCGGGAGTGAGGGCCCCGCGTCGCCCTGCCGCCTCTGCCGGTGCCCGGCCCCTCCGTCTCAGCCCCAAAGCCCCCGCCCCCGGCCTCCTCCAGAAAATAAGACCGTTTAACCGCCTGCTCCGCCTTTGCCTCCTTCCTTCCTCCTTGCCTCCTCCAGGGACCCAGGCTGCTCGTGCCTGATCTTTCCTGAACCTGGAACAGCCCCTCCAGCAGCAGCCTTCAGAATGTCCAGCTCCAGGCCCCCAGTCCCTTCTAAACCAAGACACAGGAAGCCGGGGTCCCAGCCGCCTTTCCCCTTTCACAGACCTGAGGCCCTGAGCCCTCCTGTCTCAGGATTCCTCCCGAGTCTAGACCTCTAAGCACTTGTCGGGAAGGACCAGGCATGTGGGTTTCCTGTCCTCTTTTTCCGTGTACAAGGGTGTCTTTCTCTCAACCAGGAAGGGTGTGTGTTGTTCTAGATTGTTGGTCTCCGCCGCCACCCCCCCCACCCCGCCCCCTCCGCCCACCTCTGGGAAGACTTTTCTGTTTCCCTCTTGGAACTCAGACACCTACGTCATTAGGACCCAGCCCCTCTTCTTTCCCCTCCTCCACCCAATTCTGCCCCTAGCCCATATGACACCTTAGCAAAAATTAGATGCCATCCCCACCCCCCCTCCAGGCTTACCCAGCCCCACCAGGACACATGTGGGGGCGGGGAGATGGCTGGATTTTACATCCGCCCGTGCCTTGGCTGTGTGGGTTTGTGCAGTGAACAATTTGCACAACCGCACATGGCTGTCCTATCTTCTCTGTTCGTAAGACCCAGTCTTTGGGGAACCAGGGCCTCTCCTCAGGAGCTAGGTCTTCTCTAAGATCCTCTTCTGTTACACGCAGCCAGTCTATTTCACCAACTGCGAACCCAGTCTCTCCCTAGTACTAGGGCTTTCTCTGCCTAGGCCCCACCCAAATGCATTTCCCCCCCCACCCCCCCGCCCCGAGATCGAGTCTCTTCTTTCCAGGATTCTGATGCTTTCCTTCTCTTCAACCCCTGCAGCTATCCCACGCATCCAGATTTATTAAACATGATTTATTCCTTTGGGAGAGGGGATAGGGGTGAAATTGACAAACCAATAAATATTGCACAGGCCACTGGTGGAAGAAAGATCCAGACCGAGGTAGTTTCTGCAGAAAGGGTGAGGGACCTGGGCAGGGAAGGCACCTGAGGTTGTTGGGGGCCTGAGTGGAAATGAGTCTTGGAGTGAGGATGGTCTCTGATTGCTCCTGACCCACGGTTTTCTGCCTGACATAAGGCTCCCAACCCCTTTGGCCTGGACCAGCTGATCAGCGGTTGACCAGGTAGTCTGCCTGAGGAGCAGCGGCAATTGATAGAAAGATCGGGTTTCCTTTAGAAATTGATTGGTTGCTTCTGTGCGGCGACAACTGGCAGCCTAAGGTTGATAAGTGCCCAGCAGCTGTCATCGGCAGTTGGCCAGAGAGCTGGGTTAACCGGCTCCCATTGGCTGTGGACGGGGGCTCCGCCTTGGTGAACGTGTTGGGCATTTTGCCCGGAGTGGGCTAAAAAGACAGTGATCTATGGCCTCGGGAGGGCACAGTTTAACCCCTGTGCCTAGTGGTTTGTTAACACTGAACAGCTGTGATTGGCTGACACTCCTCCCCAGCCAAGCCATGTTTGGATGTTTACGGTGAGGGTGGGACTAAGGTATGGCCTAGAAGCCGAGCCAAAAAGCTTTGATTGGCTGTCCAGGGAGTTGCCTAGCAACTGTAGGCTGTCTCAATTGCTAGCTTTGTTTAAGAATAGACTGTAACGGAAGTGATTGCCTGTGGGTGAGTGGAAGTTAAGAGAGGGGCGAAGCATAGTAGCTTTGATTGACAGCTTATCGTGGAGGAGGCGGGGCTTAGTGCCTCCCCAGGTGGCTGAGCGAGGCTAGGCTGGGCTGAGGTTTCGCTCAGGGCTTGTTACTGCTGGGTGCGGGCTGGGGGGTCTCGGGAATGACTGTGGGCAACGGGTCCAGTTTGGGGATGCCCGGGGGTGGGAACATCCCGATGCTGGGGGTCAGGGCTTGCAGGTGGGCCAGGGCCCGAGTTCCATTGAAGGCCACGTCACAGCCTGACTGGGCCAGGAGCCAGTGCTCTACCTCCGATTGGAGCCACTGGGAGGTCTCTGCAGGGAGAGAAGTAGGCGTTGTGAGGAGGTGACTGGGACCTGGAAGGGCCAGGAAGGGACAGCAGGGAGGGCACAGGGCAAGGAACATGAGGGGTCTGGGTTTGGGAGAAGCCTAGGCGTTCGGTTGAGGCTAGCAAGTAAGTGGGACAAGGCCTAGGAGGGTCCAGTTCTGTGGCTCTCATATACGGACAAGTCAGGGAGGTTCCTGTTGGAAAGGAGACAACCTGAGGCACACATCGGGAGGGAACAAGAGTCTCTTTTGGAAGGAGCGCTAGGGAAGTTGGGAGCAAAGGAGGGCGTGCCACACCAGGAGTCTGATGATCCAAGACCCTTACTCAGGATAAGGTCAGAACAGGGAGGTCACCCCAGGGAGGGACCAGGTCCATCAAGATCGGAAGCTGGGTTCAGGGGAGGCGGTGGGGGTCCCATCTGCTGAGGGCCAAGGTCACCCCGGAAATTGGCCAGATTCACCAGTGGGAGCTGGGAGTGCTGGGCCTGCGGTGTGGGGGGGGTGTCTCGATGGAGTCTGTTCCAGGTGGGGCCACGTCACCACTGGGCTGCGATGGTATGGGGGCAGAGCCTCAAAGGGCAGGGGGCGTGGCGGGGGCGGTCCTCAGGGCAGGGCCACCCACCACCGCGTGCGGGGTCGAGTCCTACCTTCCTGCTGGCCGCGCGCACCGGGGGGCAGCCGGGCCAGGAAGCTGTGCGCCAGCAGAGCTTCCTTGGCATGTTCGTTCTGCGCGCGCAGGGCCAAGGCGCTGAGCAGCTCCGAGTTGTTGGAAGTGCTGCGAAAGTAGAGCATGTGCGCCAGCTCCAGAGCCTGCACGCTGCGCCGCTGTCCGAACATCTGCAGGTGGGGACAGCGCCGCGGGCTCAGCCGGGCGACGGGGAAGGGCGGGGCAGGGGGCCACGCTCCCACCCATATACACTCCGCCCCCAGTCACTCAACCCTGGGATGGTCCTTCCCACGGGCTCCCGGGCTCTCCCCAGGCTTCCTGGGTTCAGGTGCCCAGGACCGGAGCCCGGGTATTTGTATTTCTAACACACACACACACACACACGCGCGCGCGCGCGCGCGCGCTCA